ATCTTCCTCCCTGTCTCCATGTTCCTCCTTATATTCCTACACCCCTGTTCCTTTCTGTATTTCCTTGTCTTTCTTCCTCCTCCTTCTAATCTTTGTAAGCAGCATCCTCCTCTCTCTTCCTCCTCATCATCCACTTCCTTATCTTCTTGCCCCTCTACCTCCTCATCTTCCACTTCCTTATCTTCTTGCCCCTCTTCCTCCTCATCATATTTATCCCTCTTCCTCTTTACAGTTATGCCCCTCCTGTTTCTATACCTCTTCTCTCCACTCCACTTCACCCCTAATTTCCTTCTCCTCTTCTCCTCCTTCTCATACCCTCTCATCTCTCTTACTTCTATTCTTGTTCCCCTCCTCTTCCTTCTATTCCTGTACTTCTCCTCACTCTCCTGTCCCTCCTGTACTCTTCCATCATCTACGCCACCTTTCCCATTCTCTAAAAACAGTCGTCGCTAAGTATTAAACCATTGCTTTTACTGCTGTATTGTTCTGCATCGTTGTATTGCATTGTATTTCATTGTATTGCATTTAATTTTTTTACTCAGTCTCCTCCTAAATGATATACAGTATATATATAACAAACAACTATGGTTAATGGCAATATGTTATACGTAGGTCCATGATCATAAATACCGAAATATAATAATTGTAATATTTAACCCAAAACGAAGCTTATAACCTAACCTGTTACGTAGCCAAGGATGTAATTATCACCCAAAACACACCTGTACATGGGCAACAAACACACCTGTACATGGGCAACAAACACACCTGTGCATGGGCAACAAACACACCTGTACATGGGTATCAAACACACCTGTACATGGACATCCAACACACCTGTACATGGGCATCCAACACACCTGTACATGGGCAACAAACACCTGTACATGGGCAACAACACACCTGTACATGGGCATCCAACACACCTGTACATGGGCATCCAACACACCTGTACATGGGCAACAAACACCTGTACATGGGCATCCAACACACATGTACATGGGCATCCAACACACCTGTACATGGGCATCAAACACCTGTACATGGGCATCTGTACATGTCCAACACACCTGTACATGGGGTATAATGAAGGAGATGCTGTAGTATAATGAAGGAGATATTGTGGTATAATGAAGGATCTGATGCTGTGGTATAATGAAGGAGATGCTGTAGTATAATGAAGGAGATGCTGTGGTATAATGAAGGAGATGTTGTAAGATACCTGTAGCTTGTCTTATCTATTATCAGCAACAACGCACCTATGATATTTGAGTTAATTCTTTTACAGAGCCAATTCGATGGACATTAAGAATTTACTAACCTGACCTGACCTGACCTGATCTGACCTGACCTGACCTGATCTAACCTAACCTAACCTAACCTAACCTGACCTGACCTGACCTGACAGAGTATGTAGGGAGGGTGAGACAGGGTGCAAGGGGAGGGAAGGAGAGTTAAACCATTGTGATCGAAAAATTAAACCATCGCCATACAAAGATTAAACCATCATGCACACACACGCACACACACACACACACACTCCTTCTCTCAGCTTCCTCTCCCTTCCTTCCCACAGAATTCTCCTCTTTCACTCTCACAGCGTTCTCTTCCTTCCCTCTTATGGCTTCCACTTTCCCTCCTCTTCCCTTTCTCCCTCCCCTCTCACAGCTCCCCACCCCCACTGTTCCCTTTCTTCCCTCTCCTCCTCCTTACTAGAGTCTCTATCTTCAACTCTCATTATACTGTTAATCCTCTTCCCTCCACTCTTCCTTCCTTCCCTTCCTTCCTCTTTCACTCTTTCATTCCTTCCATTATGCTTCGTCCCACTCTTCCAGTTCCCTAATTCTTCACCTCCTCCTTCGTTCCTAACTTTCACTCTTCCTCTCTTTCATCCTCTTTCACCCCTTCCTTCCACCCCTCCTTCATTTCGTCTTCATCTCTCCCTCCTCTATCCACTCTCAACCATCCTTCAACCCTCCACCATCCCCTCTCATTCATTTCTTCCTCGCTCCTCCATACACTCCTTCACCCCTCCTACACCACCCACTTCCTTCCTCCACCCCTCCTTCACCACCCACTTCCTTCCTCCACCCCTCCTACACCACTTTACACTCCTCCTCCACCTCTCCACTTAGGGTACGATACACATTCTAATCTGCCAAGAAATAAAACCTTAAAAATGTCCTCATTACGTCCCACTGAACTCTTGAAAACTGGAAGCTGATTGTGACTCTCATTTGAATTGCTCAATTTGTTTCGCTGTCTCTCTCATTGGTTCATTTTTCATCCGAATTTGAAACACGAGAAAGTAATTTGAAGCGACCATTCACTGCAACGTCTTGATGCTTCCGTCCCTTCGCATTAGAGTTGTTTTGTGTATGTCATCTCTCGGCTTCATTCATCTGTTGTATGAGTTGAGTGAGGCTGAGTCTGTGTACAGTATGTGAAAGGTTGTGTCGCAACTTAGTAAGGTCTCTCTCTCTCGCGGCCTTCAAGCCTCGTGTCTTCAGTGCTCTGCCATGTATAGCCTCTAATACTCCTTAATGCTTCTTCAAGGGCTCCCTCCTGAAGATATGTAATGCGCCTTCACGGGCCCCTCTTCCAGCTCTGTCAGGTTCCCTCAAGGATCATTTCTACAAATCTGTAATGCTTCTTCCAGGACCACTCCAGAGACGTGGGATACTTCTTCCAGGACCACTCCAGAGACGTGGGATACTTCTTCCAGGACCACTCCAGAGACGTGTGATGCTTCCTCGAGGACCATTGAGCAAAGCTTCTTCGAGGGCCAATCCTGGAAATTGTTAATGCTTCCTTTAGCAACACTACCAGAATTTTGTGATGCTTCTTATAGGGCCACTGATGTAGATAAGTTACGCTTCCTGCAGCCCCCTCCCCGTTAGTAAGGCCACCGACAGCGGTCCTCTCTGGTGCTTACACAACGTTACTCTCGATGATCTTTCAGTTTACCTCTACAACAACTCCGGTGATGCAGTGGTGTGTCTTCTGAAGTCAGCCATCTCTGCTCGTTATCATTCATGTTGGCCACAGGTGAGTAAGCTTTCTTTCACAAGATGTAGGAGCGGCCTCGAGAGGAAGTCCTGGAGACCAACTTCCTGATGTTTTGAGAACTTCTCCTCCATCATCATCATCATCATCATCATCATCATCATCATCATCATCATCATCATCTTCCTCCCTGTCTGTAAATGGATGGTAGCTGCATAGGACGTAGGAGATCCCGACGGTCTCCTAAGTAAGACCTGGAGACCACCATGACGCGTCTCAGCTAAGCCGCCTCAACTCTCGTTAACATATTAATACCCATTTAAGCACGAGTCTTAACCCCCCTCCCCCCTTGATACGGAGACATGCAAGGAGTCTCCAACACAGCTGAGGAGACCACCAGAAGGTCTCTTCAATAAGACCAGGAGATCATCCTTCCTGCTGTTCCTCCGAGATGTCTCCGCTAACCCGCTTCAAATGGTCGTTAACATATTAATGGATAGTTAAGTGGGCCGCATCACCGCCATGAACCCGGGTCACCCTCCGCTGGTTGTGTCACGAAGGAGTGAGTCGCCTTCCACACCTCACCCCTGAGTGGCCGCGGCTGCCTCCCCACGTGTCTTTATCCACACCGCCTGACTGTATAAGTAAGCTAACTACAACGTCACTAAATACACACTGTATAATATCGTTGATTTACACTACCTACAGTCGGTGCTACATTTAAACTGTGTAATGATGTAATACAAAGACTACAAACAACCTTACGCAGTTAGTTTACCCACGTTAGGTTAAAAATGGTGTTAAATTAAACCTGAGAGTCTACCTTCATTACGGGACCAAACTAACTTACGGGACCTTTTATGAGTGAGAAGTTTATTTTCTGTCTTATGATTTAGTTTTAACATTGTTTATTCTGGTTTATTTTTAATGCTAATATTACTTCTCTTCTTCCTTGCTTTATTGTTTTTATGTTCTCCTAATCCTTCCTTTCTCCTTCCGTCTCCTTATCACCTCTTTCCTTATTCTTATTTTCATTCCTGTCTTTATCAATTTTATTTCCGCTTCTCCTCCTCTTTATTCATGTGATTTTCATACCTCGCTTTACCTTCCTCATCAATACCTTCTTCTTCCTCCTTCTTCTTTCTCCTCCTTCTTCTTCCTCCTCCTCTAATACCTCGTACTTCTCTCTCTTCCTCCTCCTACTTTTCCTCCTGCTCCTCCTCCTCTTAATATTTTGTTTTTACTTTTTTCTCCTTCCTCCTTCTCCACCCCCCTTACTCCTTCTTATCTTCCTCCTCTTCTAATACCTCTTACTTCTCTCTCTTCCTCCTCCCCTCGCTCTTCTCTCTCATCCTCCTCCTCCTCTTCCTCTGACTCTTCCTCTGACTCTTCCTTCTCCTCCCCTTCCTCCTCCTCCCTTATCTAATATTGCCTTCTTAACTTTCATGTCATTTTTCGTTCGTTTAAGTCTTGACATTTTATATCTTTCCAATATTCTTCTCTTCTAAATCATCCATAACTCTCTCTCTCTCTCTCTCTCTCTCTCTCTCTCTCTCTCTCTCTCCTACCTTATCCGCCTCTCTATCATCCTCCCCTATCTCCCCTCTCCCTCTTTCTTGATTTTTACTCCTTTCCCCTCCTCCTACCCTCTCCTTCTCTCCCTCTTCACCCTTAACCCTTCACGCACTATCCTTCTCTTCCCTTCTTCTCCTCCCTTTTATCCGTCCAGCTTACCTCTCTCTCTCTCTCTCATCCAATAATTCTATTTCACTTTCCTCTCTCTTCTCTTAGCAACTCTTTCCCACTCACCAACACTCCCTCTCCGCACCTCTCCGCCCACTCACCAACACTCCCTCTCCGCCCACTCACCAACACTCCCTCTCCGCCCACTCACCAACACTCCCTCTCCGCCCATTCACCAACACTCCCTCTCCGCCCATTCACCAACAATCCCTCTCCGCCCACTCACCAACACTCCCTCTCCGCCCACTCACCTTCCTCAGTATACGGGTGATCTTCTCGCCGTGTTCCCAGGTGATTTGGTCGTTGTCGTTAGAGTCGCAGGTAATCCTGTGAGGCTGGCCTATACCTGGCCCCTCCCCGAACACGTCCTTCTTGCGTTTGAGTCTCGTCAGCGCCTCAGATATCACCCGCACGGCGTCGTAGATCAGCGCCGACTGCGC